TCATTTTTCCCTGTCATGAACTGATAAAGTATGTTTTTAAGAGTAGTCCAAGGTCTATCTTCAGTAGGGCTCCTGGATATATGTGTATACACATATCTAAACATCGATATAGGAGCTACCGTCATCTTATATTCTGAGAAATGTTGATGATATAAAAAGGGTTTGGGGGACACAACAGCAAAAAATATGAAATTAGTCTGTACATGTTGGCTCCGACATTTTAAATTTCTAGTTAATTTAGATTCATCAGGAAAGAGATATGACGCAACGGATATTTTCGAGGAATTCCAACAATCGACACATTTTTGCCGGGAAAAAAAGAGCTGTCTTTCGCATTTGAAATACATTTGAATTTTTGCGATGCTTTCCAATAAAAAAGTGAATGAATCAACCAAAAAATGTTGTCTGTAAAATAAATTAAACACTCAAAAATGTATCCAAAAAGTCACCAGATGGCACGACAGAGCTTCTAGATCTAAAATATAGATCCCCCCCAGAAAGGCTTCGCCCCTTCGGCGCTCGCATTCGCACCTTCGGTGCGACTTTATGCATGCACATAGGAAAAAGCCCAGCTACGCGCCTGTCTCCCATACCCTCCCCATCCTCGCGCTGCGCGCTTCGGTGTGTTGCTTTCGGCAGCACATTTTATCATTGGGTTTACACATTGAAAACTCGTTTGTTACACCCCTGGCAGTAAGCACATGCTTATTTGTTACAGTTTTATTTAGACATGAACTGTGGTGCTGAGGGTTATTTTACACGTTTACGGGTTTAGATCGATTTTCGGTAAAATGCCACCCCGATAATGGTATATACGAGAAGGGTGTCATGAAGGGTGTCATTTTTTTTTTAACAAAAATTGATCTGAACGCCTAAAACATGTGAAATTATTCTGAAAACCCAAGTTAAGGTCCAAATATAGATGTAACAAATTAAATCCTCATGTCCCTGTGGTTTGGCATTGTTTCGTTTTATCATGGTAGGGGAGATAACCCATACTATCAGAAAGGAACTGAACTTCTTTTCACCGATGTAATGATTCTACTTATTTTTTTCCAAGTTAATAGAATAATACGTTATTTTCTCATTTGCCGTTTAGTTGTATTTTCCCAATAACTAACAGAACTTTGTAAATCCTTAACTTTAAAATCAACACTAAAAGGAAATCTGCTGAGAAAATAAAAATAAAATTTACCTTGGTGATATTGAAGGAAACGACGTTTGCTGGTTTTGTAAATTGTAATATTCTATAAAAAAAATACATTCATCTTAATAGTTAACACATATATTATAGATTTACCGCACACCGAAGGAAACCAGGAGAAATCTATGTGACGGAAATATGTTTCAGGCTAAAAGATAAATGCAAGTTAATCTTGTGTGGCCTATATCCTGGAGGAACAAATCGTACCCCTCCCCCCAACACATACACCCTTTATATCTGCTAAACACATCAACGCTGTACGTAACATCTACACAGGTGGTAAGATCTAGTCAACACATGTAATTTTAAAACCACACCTGGATTTTTTTCAATAGATAATATCTACATAAAAAAAACCCAAATCCCACCTGTGTTTACCCCCCTGGAGATAATCATTTATCTCCGTGCTAACACAAACCTATTCCACAGCCCGGTCAGGATTATTTCCATGTATCATTTTTTCTTCCGAAGCATCATCTGACTTTTGGTTTTAATCTCAAAACGATCTCCATGCCAAGAAAACTTCACATATATTTAATTCAGGTTGATTTCTTTGGTGTACTTTTGAGATAAAATCTCAAAGCAGATAGAGTGAAAACCTGACATGTATAATTTGAACGTTTATTTTCTTTTTCATCAGGAGCATTATTATTTTTGTATTCAATGACAAAAGTTATTAATCTCTTCGACTTAAAGTTCTGTACAGTAATCAGAAGATACCAGCTTTCTTTGCTTTTGTAACAAATGCATAGGAAGGATATTCAGTATTTTTTCTCTTCATGAGATTCATGGTATAAATCTTAAAGTTTTAATTTTGCAATATTCTGCTGACTTAAGGAGCCCTGTCCCGACGCAGGCACAACACTAACGAGTTCCAATTAAGTTTTTCATAAATACAACTACTTCCCCTGAATTTTGTTTTAGGTATAATTAACTATAAACTGTAGTTGGACTGGGAACCACTGTTGATCAGGTAGCTAATGGTTACTACTGTTTTGTCATAGGTTCGAATCCTGTTCTCGTCGGTATTTATTTACAGAACACTTGTTGAGTGTTGATATCTTTTTGTTTATTTTATGTTTTTTTTTTAATATATTTTTCTCAACAGAAATTATTTATCAAAGCTAGAGTCATGTTGGAAACGTGTTTCCAACATTAACCCCCCACCCCCCCAACTAGTACCATACATAAAGAACCTAGAAACACATTACCTGATACATTTTATAAATGATGTATTCAACCTATCCCCTATAAGTGTTGCTTTCTCAGTGTTCCCATTGAATTTTAGATTTAGGGGTATATTAAATACATCTTCAAGATTCTGTACCTCTAGGTTCTCAACCAACTGTTTCTGGGTGAAAAACACTCATTTTGGAGATTTCTGAACATTTTCTTCATGTTGGTAAGTATGGATTATGAAAAGTTCTTTTTACACAACCAATACAATTTTCTATGTGGCGTTTCGATGACTTGTATGATATGTACACTGTCACCTTCATCAGACAAATGACCAGTGAAGCGTAGGCACACAAAGGTGTAAAATGTGTACGAGTTGTCCACAAAATCGATTTCGATTTCTGCTACGCTTTCGCGTATGTACAAAAGTTGTTATATATGTACCGAAATGACTCGATCCAGCTACTCTTTGTTTAATACTTGGTCATAGATGTGGGAGAGTCTTTGAGCCCCCTCGTCTCGATTTAGAACTGGCCCACTGTGGCGTATCCAGATGGCTTCCTTTATCTGCCGCTTGAACGGATTGCTCTCTCTGTCCAAAACTTTGGAGTTATCCCAGTCAATCACATGATTTTTCTGTGTGGCATGGTCTGTGAACTCGTTTTGGAGTTTCTGTGAACACTGCTTTCTAGTCTGAGAAGTTCATTTCTTCACAACTTTTGACAAAAATGTACAGACTTACAACACAGAGTTGAAAAATTGTCTAAAGGATACCCATCCCACTGGCAAAAACTGTAACTAAGTATTGGAAATTGTATTTTCAGGCTAGACTACAGCTTTGATAACTCATTTCTGAAAAGAAAATCATATCTTGCAGGAACTTTGTGAGAAAAAATAAAGAAGAAAAAGAAACAAAATATCATTAACAATAAAAAAAAATCAGTGAAAAATTAGAGAAGGGTTAGACTGGAATTCAAATACTGGACTTCAGATTGTTATACTACCACTTTAACTGATAGAGCTACCTGGTCAATAAGTGGCCTGGTCCAACTGTGCTACAGTATATAGCCAAGTGGAAGATAAGGGGAGGCTACTGGGTATAAGGAAAAAACAGTGCAGTTGGACAGGGATCCTTAAGAGACCTTGAGTAATTTAAGGTTCTTCAGTCATTCACATTTTTCTGAATTGCTAAGTGGTAGAGTAATTAATGCTTATTAGACCAAACATGGTACATGTATTATATTTATCCGTGACTGGGATGATAGTGATACCCAAGGCACTGTCATTGTCTAATAGATGTAATATTTATATACCACATATACATACTGCTGGATCAGTTATATTCTCAGGGTGATCCTATACTCTGTCACCCTCTGACGAATGTTATTTTGATATATGTACTGTTGGGTGACAATTATTATTATCCTCAGGGTGACCCAAGACATTGTTACCCTCTAATGAATAAAATGAGTTGATATTTATATCTGTACTGCAGGGGGACATTGACATCCTCAGGATGATATTAGCCACTGTCACCCTCAGATGAATGTAATATTTACATATGTAATGCTGGATGACAATGGAACCCTTAGGGTGACCAACAACACTGTTACCCTGTAATGATTTAACTGAAAAATAATTATAAATACTGCTTGTTTACAGTGATATCTTCAGTCTTAGACACCGTCCTGATGAATGTTATATTTGCATACATGTATGTACCACTTGCTGATTAATAGAATCTTCCCCTACCTTGAGGGTGTGACAGAGAAATCTCCAACACAAGAGGTGATGTTGATTGGTTTCTTACCCGAGGCTCTGCCGAGGGTTAGACAAAAACAAATCACCCCGAGGGTTAGACAAAAACAAATCACCCGGAGGGTTAGACAAAAACAAATCACCCCGAGGGAGAAAGAAATCTCTGAGGGTTGGAGATTTCTCTGTTACACCCACAAGGTAGGGGATAATTATTTTTCTCCCATTCTATTATTTCAGTCAAAATTCCACTGACAGTAGTCTGCCATGTTTGTAAACAAAAACATAAGTGGGGTATGGATATCATCATTCACTTTTAATAATGTCACAATTACCCCCCCCCCCCCGGACACATTTTGTTAACGTCACAATTGAACACGTACTTATCGGCACAAGGCTATCTTCCCCTAGGGGGTGACAAGCTTATCTTTCCCGGCTAAAACGGGAGACACACCTGTGAAGAGTGGGAGAAAGAGATATCCTTGGGGGTGATCTAAGACACTGTCACCCTCTGATGAATTTTATATTTTCTTTGTACCACTTGATGACAGAGATATCCTCAGGGTCCTATGCACTTTCACTCACTATTGATTCTAATACAGTGTATGTGCTCAAGAGTTATAATGATACAAATGTACCATCAGGTTGGTGTTAGGCACTGTTAACCCTCAAATGTGAAGTAAACATAATATCTTTGTAATACAGTTTATGTACTGCTAGCTGACAGTGATATCCTCAGGGTGATTCTAGGCACTGTCACCTCTATGTATATAACATATTATACAGAACACTATTAACACTCTCTAAATAGTAAATACATACATAATATACACGTTATCCTTTAGAACACTAAGAACAAACAAGGTTTTCAAATAACAAACATTGTATTAAGACTTTATTCGTGTTTATATACTGTATCTTCCCTGCATCTTCTCTGCATCTTCCCTGTAACTGGCTCATGCTGTAAGGGAGATAATCATGCAGGCTTTTATTTCCTCTGAAGGAAATAAATTCTACGAATAACGAAAAAGTTCTGACAGACATAGCCACAATGAGCTGCTTTCTTGCCAAAAGCAGGGAAGTAATTCTTGCTACAACAGGGGATAATCAAGAAGGTCATCCTGTCTTCTGGCTGAAATACATGCACCCTTAGACTGAGAAAAGGAACCAGTGTTTCGCTAAGATGTACAGAATCATCCAAATACCTGCAGAGCTGTTAACACAAAGGGAAATAATCAGCATATCACATTTTCTTCTGACTAAAATAATTTCCAGACTGAAAACATCCACAAAGGGGAATAACTCTTACAATTATGAATCTCGAATTGGTACAAATGTTCTACCAAAGCTGTACTGTATAGTCCCTGTATCTGTGCTGTATTTACCCCAGGCACCAAGGGGGATAACCACGCAGGTTGTGTTGTCCTCGGACCCAAACTGTAGGGCCTGGTCAGTTACACGATTTGCTGCCTCCTGGGGGTGAGTACAGCTGCATGTTATGTCCACAACCTCTTGGTCACTCAGAACAAAACTGACCCCATCACTGATCAGCGCTAGAAAGGCATCACGGCCGTGGTCAAGCTAGAACAAACAAATTACAAGAATCAAATATAGCATGTCTCCTGAAAAATGTGTATATATGTATACTGTAAATGCAATATTTATATAAAATTATAGTGTAAATTGAAATAAATTTGCCCTTATTCGTGCTCCTCCCCTTTTAAGCACCCCTCCCCTTTTTCAGCATGTGCCTTTTTCCCCAAACACTCTCTTTTCTGGCCCCTTCCAATTAAACAAAATATTGTACAATAATAATATAAACATTATATGAGACACAACAAGAATGTTTTCCAGTGTTTTTGAACATAAAGGAGAAGAGATTTTTTTTAATTATCCCTTGTAATATTCATGGCAAATTGGAGACTTTCTCCAAAATAGTATTATGTTAAAAAATCGCAAAAGTTAGTCAAAAAACTTGACCGACCTTTTTTGTCTGTATTTCTGGATGTTCTGTAACACCATATTTCTTCAAAGGGAGATTACCAATACAGCGCGTCATACTGAGATTTCCGTTGACTTTGGGCGTCCCCAGACTGTTTGGTGTGATGACTGCACCACAAGCCTCGATTCGCTTTCTTTCCTCTATATTGTCAGGGTGATGATCTTGAGTGAGGGCGATTGATTTACCTCCCCGACATAGGAGAGCTCGTGTGTCCCCAACATGGCCAATCGTCAGTTCAGTGCTGTGTTGTAACAGACAGACAGTGGCTGTACTTCCAGCACTGAACTGTTCGTCACCTACAACATATTTATCGTAAAACATTAATTTTATCGATTTACATCAATATAATACATATTAGCCCAAGTTTCCTCTGGCCCTGACACCAGACTAAAGGCATGTTTGACAGATAGATGTCTGGTGTTGGACATTTATCTGTCAAAATGTCTAAATCTGGTGTCAGGGCCAGGGGGAACTCGGCTAAACACATATGTAACCATTTTCTACTAAAATGTCACAAAACTAACAGTATCCTTAACTACAAAGAGATATAATGGGTCCTCCAAAAAGTCCCAGGGGGAAAGCACAAGTTAAGCATCTCAACCCCAAAAGTCACAGATATTGTAAAGGCCGTCTTTTGTGGGTTCCTTATTTCAGCGATTTTCATAGAAACAATTTTTCAGTGAAAAATTCAGCCCACAAAAATAAACAGCTAATTAATAGGTCTTAACAAAAGCATACCGTTTTAGCAAATCTGTTAGAAAATTAAGGACTGTTTAAAAACCCAACTTTAAAGTAAAAAATATAGAGCATTTCATTGAATTGCCAGTAGAATGTTAATATGAGACCAGCAACAAATAAACTATGGATGCCTTCTCTATAGTGACCAATCCCATGCCCCGGAGGGCAGAAAAAAGGGAAGAATTCAAATATCGAGGTATCTCCAACTTCAGGAAGTCAACTTTGTCTCTTAATGATAGCAAAATGATCCCTAGTTACGTATCACATTATCATCTACAGTACAGGAATAAACATAGAGAAAATATCTTCTATTTCCTGAACAGTAAATCTAGTTCAGTATTTGATTACTGTTTTGAAGTAGAATTATGGTAACATAGGTACCTAGACAGTAGAATGATAAATTTCTGGCGAGACTGTTGTTGACATCTATAAATGACTGTCTTAGAACCACACTGTTGTCTTGTTCCCTTGACAACCATAGGGACAGGTTATTGCTCATTTGACTTTCCAAGTACGCAGAAGCCAAGTCTCCGTTGTGTCCATCAAATATCCCGAAATACAAATATTCTGGGGACAATTTCTTGATGGCATATCTGTCTTCATTCCTGTTCCGACGGCCAAGTAGGGATGCTGTTCCAATCTTCTCCAGTGGAATCTGAGGGATCAGCTTTCCTGTAAAAGGATGATACATTCTAAAGTTATTGTACTTATGGCCTGAAATGTCACCTACGAATACTGATCGTTACTAGAAACGAAATGTAGAAAATAAGTCGGGGATAATTAACATTTTATTTTTTGGCAAGTTTCTAACAAACTGAATGCTTTTGAAGAGGTATTTAATTGGAATATGCAATGATGAAATAATAGGATACACATGTACAAACAAAATGATTCAGAATTGAAAGCAATGTCCACTTTAAAATTTGTTGTCAATTATAATGGTCAATTTGAAGCATTTTATATTAATGTTACCATATTTATTCTGTCAAAGCGCAGGTTTTTTGAGAATGGTACCTTATACCTGCCGCTCCTTAGATTATGTTGTGTTTCCAATTGCATTCAAACTACTGTATATACCACTAAATTGAATCTGAGAACAGTTCTTTTGTTTTGACTCTTTTTAATTGAAACTTTGGGGGAAACTACCATTGTTTTTCATTTGTAATGGGACAAATTTCAGAAACTGAAAGTGAGTATAATATTTAATTCACTACACAAAAACGAAAAAGGTTCAGGGTTGGAGGTGGCAGTAACACGAGGCAACATTCAGTGTGATACAAATTCTTACCTGTTTGTATGCTTTCTTTCATAAGAATAGGCATATTGATACGATTGTTCCAACTCCCAATGGTGTCAAAGTTGATACCAACTTGTTTCTTTCCCTTGTTTTCTGGGTCAGACAGAACACCCACACGTCTTGTTGGCATACACACAGAGGAAGGGCAATCATTTCTCAACAGAAATTCATTTTGTTTGCCTCCGTATCTCTTATCACAAACTGTTAAACTGGAGTAGAGTCGAGAGGTTTGGCCAAATTGGTCTTTACTTTGTGAAAACTGTGTTTTTTGTCGTCTAAGCAATTCATTACAGACTGGGTGTCTGCTTTCTGAGCAATAACACTTCTTTCGTGGAGTTATCTCCCTTGTGGTGTCTTTGTTTCTATGACAACAGAGAATACCAGTATGACAAGATTGCCAGCCAGTATTTGAGACAAGCCTTGTGCCTCTCGATAGGGTTGTAAATGTTGTATTCATTTTTAGTGTTCATATAAGCCTGCATTTGTGAAGCTCATCGTAAACAGTTTTCTTAAAAGGTGTTTTTTTTTTGTTTCCGTGCTACACCTCCAGTCGCGTTCATCTTCAGACATGTAGGTTTATCAGATTCCTTTCATGTAACCATCTGAAATGACAACAAGAATATTCAATAGAACCTTGTTCAACCACCACCTGAAATGTTAGTTCGAGTTTCCTACATGGCCCCGACACTAGAATGAGACATTTTCACAGATACATGTCTGTTGTGGGGCCCAACACCCCACAATGCAACATCTGATCTGACAAAATGTTAAATCTGGTTACAGTGGTGTCAGGGCCAGAGGAAACTCAGGCTAATGAAATGACAGCAAGAATTAACACTGGAACCTGTCTTATCTGTCTTTTAAACAAAACACAAATATAATATATTTTTTGTTAATAATTAACAGGGCTTAGTTGTCAAGTCTGATTATCTTTTCCCATTTTGAAGAAATATTTGAAAATAAATCATAAATGTTTGTTGCTGTTGCTGTGAATTTTCTTATTCAATTCATTCTTGTGTACCTTATTCTATGAAAACATTTAAATGTAGCAGATGTAAAGGTTGAAATAATTTTGTAAAAAAATATCACTGATCCGTTTCCGTATTCTTGGACCATAGTGTATCACAATTTTCAGACAGTGTGCTACAAATACACGGGCGGGCACAGAAACTGGGCAGGTAAAGGGCTGGCGTCGTTCAACAACGATGACATAATTAGATAAGTTGTTAATGTAGTGTAAAGGAAGAGATTGCAAACTCATATCAAAGGTTACATTAAAGACTGAACATAGTTGATAAGCAAAGTAACGCACATTACTGCTCACAGTCGTTACTAAAAATAACCCAATTTATCTCTTCATCAGTAACTTTTGCAAGACATTATTAAAAATCGCAGTAATTTACAAGGTAAATAATATTTTGCTAAAAATTGTTTACTGAAAGCGTCGGCTACTTAGAAACTTGATGTCACTTTACCGGAAGTATTGCATCTATTTTTGGTACTTTCCGACATGTAAATAAAGTTTATTTTTGCATTTGTATTATGTTTCATGACTGAATAAATGCGACATGGACGAACAATTTGAAAAAGTTATGATTCAAGTGATTTTGGCTATTTTTAGTAACAAATCCATACCCTTATTGGCGTATAATAGGCGAATTCGCGTATTATACGCAAGTTAGTGGTTTTCCACGACCTGCTTATAGTAAATACTGACACCACTCTAACAGTGGTGTCTTCGCCGTCTCACATGGTGACATCTTGCTTAACAGGAAATAGTCTGTTTCTTTACAATAACGGACCACACATCCCACAGTTGTATCTTACCGTGTGTTTGTATTTTATCATGGATGAAATCTGAGATAACCTTCCTATCGTCTGCAGTTCGACTTTCAGTTTCAACTTGTAAACAAGCGGATGTCGAAGTCGGGTGCGTTCGATGAAAAATATTGCTACACTGAAGTAGTCATCTCCCTTTAATAAAAAAAAGCCCGGCCGCATGAAATGAATTTGATATTATACAATTTGTATCTATGTGATGTTTCCATGCAGATACATGTATTTGTTAATATATTCTGGCATAGCACTATACATGTAGTTTTCATAAGAGCAACAGGCAAGAACTTTGTCAATGTGCACCAGTTATCACTTAACTTTCTATATAGTTTTAAAAATACCTAAGTTGCGGCGTTTACCGAAAACTGGATTATTATAAGTGCATACCAGAGAACCAAAATAGTAAATACATATCCGAAGTCCGCATTATCTTGTACATACCCAACACTTTAAATTATTTAGTTAATGCTCAAAAACATTTTTGTGCTAAAAAAATGGTTTTGGGAACGTAAAATTCGAAAATTTGGGTAACGTTACAATAAAGATTTAAATTTTGACTTACTTTTTGTATCATAGACAAGTGGGTGATATTATGGCATTCATTCGTCATCAGTAATATTATTGTTATTAATGCGTAACGGCCCATCAACACGGGATAGGTCATTAGGGCCAACGAATGGTCGGAGAAAAACAAATGCAAAATAAAAACATCAAACAAACTTCAAGTTAAAAGACAAACATCAATTTCAATATAGAAAGTGGCTATGGTGACTCAAATTGTATTAAAAAGACCAACAGCTTTCAGATAGCCTGAAATTGTAGAGACAGTTATGTTTTCAAAAAGAGATTTAAGACATGTAATGTTATTATAGATATTTTCTCGAGTTGACTGAAAGTCTATACAATCTAGTAACAAGTGTTATACTGTAAATGGTTCCTAACACACTATGCATTGAGGCTGGACTTTACGTTTTAATAAATAACAATGGGTAATGTATGAATGACCCATCCGAAGACGGGCAATGACAACCTCGTCTCGGCGCCTCACTCTGTAGCTAGGATGCCATTCACCGATTTCAGGTTTGATAGAATGTAATTTGTTATCGACCCATTGATTCCAATTATTTTGCCACTGCGATCTTATAGATGTTGTAATTAGTGATTAGATGACATTTTGAGGTAATATTATGTAATAATATTAAGATTTTTCGAATTGAGATATTCTTCAATTTTTTGTTGCGAAGGCTCTGTAGAACAGATAGAAAATCCTCGGGCTACTTTGAAGGGCCACCACACTTGGAAAGGTAACGCAGGAAATCCTACACAGTTGAATAATTCAGAAACCTGGCCATCCTCGATATCCAGGGGTTACGCTCATGTTCGCTCTCTACACCCCTGGAATATGTTATAGCAAAATTGAAGACACGAAGATAGCTGTTTGAATGGTCTCAGGTAACAAAACCTGACCAATCGCTAGGCTGATACCTGCCCTTTGAAGATTGAAGAGACGCCCGACTTCAAAGCCTGTCAATTTTTACCGTTACGTGACCGCGATATTCTTTTGATGTACATCAAAGGATCGAACTAATCTGTTTGTCTCATCAACAAGGTAGCGCACACTGAGCCTTCAATTTTGCTATGACATATTCCAGGGGTGTAGAGAACGAAAGTGAGCGTAACCCCTGGATATCGAGGACGAAACTTGGCTAACCAGCCCTAGAAACATTAATTCAAAGGTGAGGGTCAAGCTAGGTAGCAGTGAGTACCAATGCTCAACATTAAAAGCGATGTATTTCTAATAAGTCATCAGGAAACGAAAGGGATGAACATTAACTGATTCCAAGTGTGAAAGGGGTGCAGCAGTTTTTGTACGCTTTCGTGTCCCCACGTAATTAAAGACATAATATAAATAACTGACTATATGTATGTATTTTAACTTTTATGATGTGGAGTTTTTCGGAACATAAAGGGCAAAAAAAAATCCGATTCTGCATGGTGTTCTGTGTGTTGGGTTTGTTTGATTAAATAAAGCCCGTCCTTTTCCTTGCCGAAATTTTAGCAGGCGACAATTAGTAACCGTTGCTTCGTAGAAAGTGGATGTTTTGTGTGTATACGTTTCCGTTGACCGATTTCGCGAATGACGAAATGTTGAGTATTCCGTGTAGGCGTTTGTGTTTACACGCCAACACAATATTATTAGCGATCATGACACTTTTATTTGATATGTACACATCTGCTTGAAAAAACAACAACTTTCATTACTTAAACTGTTATGAAGTCATAACTTGTCGGTACGCATAAAGATTAAACGTACCTTTTTTCATTAAAGAGTTCCAGAATTGTTAATGTTGTATCTGTCATCGTGGACACTGACCAAACACATGTTTGTGTCCATCACGCCTTGTCTTACATGGACTCCGGACATAGACTGACCGCTCCAGTGTCCGACAATTTGTACCGCGCGTGACAAAAGCGACTGTTAAGATGACCCCTGACCAACACTGTTTATAAAACGGATGTGTAAATAATGTTTATTGAAATATAAATGGCTGTGTTATGATAAAAGTCTTGTCTATTTCTGATGCCAGGGTCTTTGATGGTTGGCGATCAGACGTTTAATGGCGCGGCTCATAGAATCATACTGAGTGTAAGTTTAGCACGGTACTGTAAATGACATGCCTTGTCCTGACATGCTTAATTAATCAAAAAGCTTTTATCCACGAAGGCGACAATAAGGTAAGCACTGGTTTAAAATTATTGCTTACATCATATTTAGGACGTATACAATTTATCACTTTTATATCCCTTCATGTTGAGATCCTGGCTAAATAACACAAGTTAAATTTCAGAGGAGCTTGCCCGCTATGTCCAGTTATAGTAAAGAGAGCCGAATGACAAGTACCGCCAGTACTAGTCTGGACCATTCTCAAGGCTGAACATCAAGTTGCTAGGATCTATATTCAGCATCAGAGACTCAAGGTACGGTATCGTCAAAGCTTCCTGTTTCAGCTTAGTTATATAGTCTTAATGTTACGATAACAACTAGACACTATTATATATCAATTTATGTTCTGTTTCCGTTTACAAGAGTGGTTATATCGGGTTTAGCACCTACACAGCTTAATATACGAAAATGGTTGCATGTATAAGTACACAGCGTAATGGCAAGATCTTATTAATACCAAGTATTTTAAAATATAATATTCAACTTGTGATGACTGATTAGGTCTTCTATCCTAAATTAACTATCAATATTTATTCTTGGGCTATAGCTGATGATTCACTCTCCCCGAATTGTAAATATATTTTTGATTTTCTCGACATTCTGAAACTGTCATTGAGGATTATTCGGATTAATGAGGACGCCATTTCAGTAACTAATGATTAAGTATATGGTTTAACCCTGCAGAGGTCAAGTTTGACAAACTATGAGTGTCTAGATGAGATTTTAATACAACCAGGAACTGACAACTTATTTTGCGAGCTTTCGAAGACATCTGTTTCCTTACCACTAAGCCACAACGTGCCGAATCAGTAAAGTCAGCTGTCAGGAATCATAGAGAAATTTTGTCAAGTAGCACTCTAAAACTGCTGGTAGTCAGGGTGACGGGTAACATGTTTACCCATTCCGTCCCTTAGTGGATGTTAGAATAGGGTCATAAAGATGACTCAGCTGGTGGCCCCCTTCGTCTCTGTTCATAATTCCCATTCCTTTCTAACCCAGATGGATTTTTTGATTTTCCTGACGTTCCCGATGTCCTCCCTTTCAAGTACTCTCGAGTTGTTCCAGTCTGTGATGTGGTTGTGTGTGTTAGCATGCCTGTAAAGGCTGATTTACCATATTGTTTCTCTGATGTCCCCCTTGTATTTCTAGTGCAGACTTGCTGTTTCATGGCTTCAATGTCTTTGCTGATATTTGCGGGGTGTCCAATTGTTTTTGGTCGATTTCTCCGATGAATGTAAGGCGCTAACTGTTTCATAGAATTTGGTAATCACCCCATTCATGCCTTCCTTCGGCAATTTGTCTTTCGGATGAACTAATAGTTATTTGATGGTGTTGCGTGGTCGCATGGACTTGCTGATGTGATGTTTGCTCAACACTCTGAAAAGTGCTTCAGACAACCCTTTTAACTTAATTTCGGTTCGATCTCCAGCGGTGGCGGAAAAAGAGAGTGATGTCTGATAGGTTCAGTTGTTATCTCTCCGATGGCACTTTGGTTTCCCCCGTGTTTTTTTTCCACTAAGAAAACATAATTTGTTCCCTTAGCGGCGTCGTAATAAAAACTCTTCAGAGTTTACGTTTGTTGTTGACAATGTATATGAACTTGAAAAAATATTATTATCCCCCGATTTCACCTAAAGGGGGATATTTTTAATTTGTGTTTGTACGTCTGTCCGTCTGTCCGTCTGTTTGTTTGTTACGCTTCGTTTCCTTGCAATAACTGCAACAAATGTTAAGCGATTTTCTTCAAACTTGGTAACAGGGTAAAATGCCTTAAGAATTGGACTTTACTCGATGACCACTTTCAGCGGACTTTATTTGGCGGAGTTATGGCCCCTTGAAAAACGAAAATTCAAGCTATACATCATGTCTCAACAGCACGATAGTCACATGTTTAAACCTAACCTCAACAATGTTTACCGACAATATCTCCTGCAAACTGGGGATAATAAATTCCACGAATTTGCTTGTTATATTTATTTATTGATTCATTTATTATACAGCCTTACTTATTATTATCAACTTTGATAATCATCTAACGCATTTTTACCTCTTCTGTGAATATTTCAACTTTCATGAAAATGTCTTCAACAGTTAAAACAAATCTTCGAAACAGTACGATTACCGGACCGTGAACGTTAAAAAGGTCGTGAACGATAACCAGACCATGAGCGTTAACCAGACCGTGAACGATAGCCAGACCGTGAACGTTAACCAGACCGTGAACGATAACCAGACCGTGAACGTTGACCAGACTGTGAACAATAACCAGACTGTGAACGATAACCAGACTGTGAACGATAACCAGACCATGAACGATAACCAGACTGTGAACGATAACCAGACTGTGAACGGTAACCAGACCGTG